GTTAAGGCGTTCGCTCGTCACGCCAAAGACCCGGGTTCGATTCCCCACATGGGTACAATGTGTTAAGCCCATTTCTGGTGTCCCCCGCCGTGATATTGCTGGAATATTGCTAAAAGTGGCGTAAAACCAAACTCACTCACTCACTCACTCATTCGTGTATAAGAATACGGAAGGATAACTGACCATATCCCTTGTCTGGCTTGAGCTAACAAGGCAATGAAACTACATAACTCATATGGATACACTAACAATTCCAAACGTTGTACCATTCATGCTGTATCATCCCTTGTCTGGCTTGAGCTAACAAGGCAATGAAACTACATAACTCATATGGATACACTAACAATTCCAAACGTTGTACCATTCATGCTGTATCATCCCTTGTCTGGCTTGAGCTAACAAGGCAATGAAACTACATAACTCATATGGATACACTAACAATTCCAAACATTGTACCATTCATGCTGTATCATCCCTTGTCTGGCTTGAGCTAACAAGGCAATGAAACTACATAACTCATATGGATACACTAACAATTCCAAACGTTGTACCATTCATGCTGTATCATCCCTTGTCTGGCTTGAGCTAACAAGGCAATGAAACTACATAACTCATATGGATACACAAACAATTCCAAACGTTGTACCATTCATGCTGTATCATAAGCTAGCGTAATGAATTACTATCATTTATGATGACACCAGCACTTACGGATTAGGATACTGCATAGTGTCATCTACTGCCAGGCCAAAGTCGATTGTCTGCGAAGAGGTTACATACAGGCAGCTATCCACCCACACAACACTGTAATCAAATGCCCACAACAGAAATCCCCGAATCAAATTGAATAAGCCAATGATAACTCACTCGTATTTATGAATATGACAAAAAGCAACGCTCAGTCACAGGATAGATTTGGTTGTCAGGGTTGAGAAATCTCTTAAGTTCTATCGGAGTCAAGATGATGCCTTAACTCTCCCACAGAATACAGAAAATTCACGAAACTGTCAAATCCTCGGTGACGTATCGATTTTGTTCATGTCCCGCACCACGGCAAAGAACTCTGCATAACAAAATGCACGAGTTTAATTCTGCTGCGCACACTATCAAGGGAATAACAGCAAAAACCTTCTTCTCGCTTTTGTAGCTGCAGCTGCATGTATATGACATGAGAAACAGCTCTGCCACCAAAGTCTTGTCAAAGAACCACGCAACGTGTTAACTAAAGCCCTCTTAATTAGATTACATATAGGTTGTGAGTCTCGACTGTTCGCGATCTACATGCAGATCAAATATCTGAGCTTACAAATTGTGTACCATCTTCTCTGGCACAAGCCGAGATTGGAGAGGTGAAACTGGGTCCATCGATATCAATTGTAACCTGGTATTATCAATGTAGCATCAATATTTAAGTGTGATTCCGAAGCAATGCAGTAAAACCTCCCTATTCCGGACACCGGTGAATTGGGAAGCCTGTAATCTGGACAATCACTGTCAGGAATGATTATGAAATACTCATTCGGGGCATGACGTACCACAGTACATTTGTTATCATTGTTATATATACTATTCAGATATGACCCTCAATAAAGGTGTACTTATACACAGAGTAATGTTAAGCTGGCTACTGAAATGGGATATTTTTTATTTATTTTGTTGCGCGTGATGTGACATTGGTTTTTTACACCAGTGGTATCATACAAAGATGGTATATGTGACCATTGTTTCTCTAAAGTATCAATCCGTTAAGCTGCTCTGATCGGTATAGTTCGCCTTTTCGTCGACAAAACGGTGTAAAATATCACGTTCTGATATATATAATCAAATGTTTAATGCATATATACTTCCTGTGGTAGGGAGCCTCCAAGATGACGTCATACACCTTTAATTACTGTTATATATTTATTCAAATGACGAAAGCTCACCAGAGAAACTGACATGAAACTATTAAATAAAAATATATGCTGATATACATTTAGCAGACTGATACCACTGTCGTCCCTATCCACATGTTTTTATGATAATCATATTTGTACTTCATGATCACTTATTGTATTACGAGTATGATTGCGGTTGTTTGAGAGTTCGTGGAGATTACGAAATGACGTCATCAGTTGCAGTCAATGATTCTTTGCTGTGAATAATCGGGTGACTTAATTCCCTGAGCAAACATCTGTCATCCTTAACGTGTTAGTAATCTGTTACAGCCAGTGACTATAGAGTGGCTATCCTGTTTTGTACCATGTGCTAAGGGGCAATCCAACGTGATTTAAATGCATCTACACCTGGATCTATTCTCTGATTCACTTCACCTCTTCTTAATCAGTTTCGTCGAATAATTGACCAATAACTTGTCTCATAACCGGTGAACATCACATGTGAAGTTACTGATGATGAAGACGAATAACTGACCAATAGTTTGTCTCATAACTGGTGAACATCACATGTGAAGTTAACTGATGATGAAGACGAATAACTGGCCAATAGTTTGTCTCATAACCGGTGAACATCACATGTGAAGTAACTGATGATGAAGACGAATAAGCTAAATAACTGATGATGAAGACGAATAACTGGCCAATAATTTATCTCATAACCGGTGAACATCACATGTGAAGTAACTGATGATGAAGACGAATAACTGGCCAATAATTTATCTCATAACCGGTGAACATCACATGTGAAGTAACTGATGATGAAGACGAATAACTGGCCAATAGTTTGTCTCATAACCGGTGAAACCATGTGAAGAACATCAATAATTTATCTCATAACCGGTGAACATGTGAAGTAACTGATGATAACTGATATCTCATGTGAAAGACGATGATGAAGACTAACTGGCCAATAGTTTGTTTCATAACCGGTCATCACATAACTGATGATGAAGACATCACAATGTCATAACCGGTGAACATCACTGAAGTAATGATGAAGACGAATAACTGGCCAATAATTTATCTCATAACCGGTGAACATCACATGTGAAGTAACTGATGATGAAGACGAATAACTGACCAATGTTTGTATCCATTTGGTCTCATAACTGGTGAACATCTCATGTGAACATCAAGTAGTTACTGATGATGAAGACGAATAACTGACCAATAGTTTGTCTCATAATAACATGTGAAGTAACTGATGATGAACATCACATGATGAAGACGAATAACTGACCAATAGTTTGTCTCATAACTGGTGAACATCACATGTCAAGTTACTGATGATGAAGACGAAACACTGACCTATAACTTGTCTCATAACCGGTGAACATCACATGAGTAGTAACTGATGATGAAGACGAATAACTGACCAATAGTTTGTCTCATAACCGGTGAACATCACATGTGTAGTTACTGATGATGAAGACATCTAAAATATATAGATGTGGTTCTTACTTTTGTTTTTATTAACAATAATGACATACTTGTTTCATTGGTATCAATAATAATGCTGAAATTGAGAAAAATGTGTCACGTGTGATATCATATGTCCATCGATATAACAGACTCATTTATACAGTCATGAATGTTACATGAAAGTTAATGAAATCTAGTTTCAAATCTAAAGTTTGGTTGGATTATTAATTTCGGCGGGTTCTTAACAGTTTGTATGTTAAGATATAACAATGACATGGTAAGACATATATACAATGCCGCCTCTGTTATGCATGGAAGCTATGTGTCCTAGTATATATCGTATCTATTATTCATAATATACACCAGCATTTTATTGCCCATGTTCAAAAGACAAAAATCTGTCTAATATGCAGTTACCACCATCATATATCATATATAGTCAACAAAAACTCATTAGTAATAGAAACAAACTGGACAAACACCCCCTAAGTTATACATACACCTTATATATATCTCATACTGAATTAGGGCTGTGTTACCCTCGTGGCCACGTCGTTCACTCAATACATCGAAGACCATGTTTTGATTCTGAACATGAATTAAATGTGTGCAGACCATTTCTGTGTCTCTTGCCTTGAAATTGCTGGAACATTGCAAAAACGGCGTAAAACTATACTCATTCACCTCACCTATATTGAATTATAAAACCGACCTAAAGTAGAAATCATATCTATTCTATAGTTATACATATATTACGCATTTAGTGAACACATAGATACCTTAGGAAATGATTCATAAAAAGATACCCCTTTAATTCAACACCTTACATATAATAAATCGCATCTTGAATTGTGAGCCTACTTAATATTAAAAAGATCAGTCATACATATAAAGCTCTTTTAGTTAATACATAGATATTTCTTGATAGGACACCGGTCATAAAGATCATACAGGTGTACGGATGCTTTTGGCATATCTGCATAAGATTTTCGTGTGGCTGAGGTCAGTCTACCAAATAGTTCCACTGCGCAACTTTGCTAATGCTAACATTAAAACTACACTGTTTATACTTTCTTTAAGAAACACCCACGCCTATACTTTGGCATATACGCTGAAAGTAATCCCTATTTGCGTATTACATATTTAAACGGAACTGATGTAGTTATCCTTATTACGTGCCATATATCCCCTTTCAAATAGGTGTAAAATCTGAACGTGAAACCAACAAGATACCTTCAGTGCTTAATGACCATTTTCACAAGAATACACAAACATTATATTATATAATATAATTAATTTCCTTAAAGGAATATGATAACGGGATAAATTGTTCTTTTTAAAATGCTAACAAAATATACGTTGTTATTATCCTGAAATGTATGCATTAGTATCATCAATAACTTCGATAATCATTGTCATATCGGTTTGTTTGGTTTAAAAACCATGTTTCTGTATTCTTGTGAAATGGTCATTATATATATATACTTAGGATTCCTGTGTGCGTCGCCTACACGATAGCGAAATGTGGAGGGCAGGCTTGCAAACGTTTCACACTGATTCTGTTATTCCAGTAACAAGGTCAAACTCTTGGGTATTGTGGGGTATGGTCATTACCAATGACATAACACATTCAATACTCACGTTTATGATCGAGATCCGAGGGTGGTGGTGGTGTTTTTTCATGCTTACGATGAGACAATGGATCTTCGGGATCACTTCCTATACCCCACTCAATTTGACCAGAATCCGGACGTTGTGGAAATTGACTGTGCGGTGTTCCGAGATGTGATAAATTAAATGGCCTGTGTCCTTGAAGGTTTGCCATTTTTGCAAACTGTTTTGAAGATGCTGGTTTCAATTCCGGTTATGTTTACGTGCTTTGATAGCCATTTTCTGTTGAGGTTTCACGGTTGATTTCGGCGTTGGTGTCAGCGTGGATTTCGGAGCAGCTTGCTGTCCGGTGTGTTTGAGGTCTCTCCACGAATAAAACACTGAAAGCAGCCACAATGTTGAGGTACAGGTTACTGTTGAGACGGATGATCCATACAGGAGCACCACGTGGAACCAGATGGCGGCTTCGCTGGTCCACAGTCAAAGCGGAAGATCTATAGTCGATAATCAGACGCACTGTGAACAAACCAATACCAGTATATCCACAAAATATGGAAGGGCAGAGATAACAGCACTGGCACTTCCCTCACATAAGAGCTGCAGCTACATCATTCTCACCATCGCAGCGCTACAACCTGGCTGGAGAACTATTCCTTCTTTCAAACACCAGTGCCACTCGTCCTTTGTCTGAGAGAACACCGCTGATCCATCAGTCCACCCCCATACGCTAGAATTAAAAATCTCCCCCTTTTGATAGCAGCGAGGGCAGCGTCCAAATCCTGTCTCCCTAGCGCAGGATGATCAAACAGACTATGAGGCCTTCCGTCAGTTCTCCCCAGCCTACGGTTTAAATATAATCAATGAAAGACGTAGAAGGAACCACGGAAAGGTCCCCCTGTGTTTTTCCTCTGATTTCGTTACTCCGTCAATTGGCCAGCGGGTAATTCACCAAGCCAGTATTAGACGACAGCCGGAATTACTCGTACAGACGGTACTATAGAAATTTGCATCAGTGTAAATTTCCTAAAGTACAATGCCTTTCCCGTAGATCTGAGTCAGTGTACAAATTTTGTTCCTGTGCTCTGGTATGTTTACTTTCATCAGCTGGTAGAACGGATCGTGATCTCTAACTCTAGCACTAAAACACGATTGGACAGCCGCATGCGATCAGTGGTTCGTGGCCCAGCTGCAGTTGAGTCGGTCGATACTTATTGCATGCACGACTCCCAATTAAGCGATGTGCAGTTAATACTTCGCTGCGGATAGGTTGAAGTAATTCAGTGTTATCGGGGCTCGCAAGGTCTCTTTCGGATTTTCAATTTCGTAAATTGAATTATGGACGGGAGTCAAGGTGTAGGGATAATAAATCTGATACGCGATACGGATTTCTGAAAAAACCTCATTCATGTTAACTCGGAATAGTGTACATGAACCGCAAACAGTGCAGAAAAAGTTTAATTGCTCGAAGTTTGAAGTGATATTGAGTTTTCGAAACTTGCCTCGTGGCATAAAACATCCTTAGAGTTTTATTTTATAATGATATGGGGGAACATTTTGCTTTATTTGCAGTTATTTTAAACTCATTGTGTATTTCACGTGTGGTTCTTTCAGAATAATAATTCTGACATTTCGAAATATGATCTCAATACATTTTGCTAAGGATCACAAAAATTCGCAACAAAACATAGATTTATAATTTGAAATTGTATCCATTTAAAAATTGGATAAATAATAATATGGTAACTATTCTTCAGGCAAACAGCCAGTTTATTCTAACCTTATGCACTTGATGCATGAGTAACCATAAAAATGGTTTTCATGGCACCAATCAACCATTTTGCAAATCATGAAACGAGTCATTGACAAGTACACAACACCTGTCAATAGCAGGTATGGGATCCACACGATGCAGTGACATACTGAAACTTAAGATCCATGTTTACGATAAGCTTAGATATTTAAACCAAATTAGACCCCACATCATAGTTTTCTGTTGAATCAATGATTTGATCCTTAGCAAAGTGTGAATAGTATAGTTGCGTTATATTTTTGTGTACCCCCCAAGAGACAATGTACTGTCGCTATATGGCTGAAACAATGCCAATGTGACGTAAAATCATTAACTCATACACACTACATACATTGCACAAGTAACGAGTTAGTTTGATATCTGGCCGTCAACAAATATATCTCATATATATATAATGAATACATCGAAAATATTCACGCAGTAATGGATTTCAGCAGTTCCTATAATCTCAATACTTATGTACCACGCTGCACAGTACTCACCAGAAGGGCGGAAACCATCAGTTGGTTTATCCCCATGTTGATATGAACACAAATCTTAATCGCTCATATTTTATTTACCCCATAGCCATTAACGATGATACAACAGCGGCCATCATGGCTGGATGGTAAGACGGATGAAATAGCGCTTTGATCAGCGGTCTAGTTATTTCATGGTGGGTCAGCTTATGGTGATACAAGCTCAAAGTTATACAGGTCTCAGATTTTAAACAGTATTTATGGTGCAGGAGCCAAAAAATATAATCAATATAACCAACTCTTAAGATTCGAAAGCACGAAGTTGATCATCCATAAAGTTCTGTCATCTCTATACCACCAACTTCTATAATGCCACTCAAACAAATCAACTTATTAATGGACGGGTTGTGGAGAACTTTCCCTTGTAGTATGCCTATAGCGTGAAGGAGTGTGTGACCGAACGTGCTACAATGTAAAATCATATTGTTATTTGAACATTGCGTATATTTAAGCTATATATAAGCCGATCTAAAGACATTACCACTAGCAATACATCTCATTTACTTTGAAAGACGTGGACAGTATTAAACATATCCACACACATTCAAACAATGTAAAATCGGACCCTGGATCGCCATGCATTGAAAATGAGGTCATCTCACCTAGGGACCCTCGAGACCAGTATCTCTGGTACCTTCCCTGTAGACCAGTGAAGATCCGGGTTTGAATTGGTCTTCAGCAACCTAATGATGTAGCCTAACTCACAAAGGATTGGGAGACCTGAGTTAACGTGATAACATGACATTAACGTTATTGCAATATACAATAGCATCGCCAACCGATAAGATGGCATACGTTTTGGGCTTGGTTTTCAATGAAGGGATGTGTATTAAACAAGAGGTGTCTCAACAGGTGTAGATTTCATCCTTGAGACGAACGTGTCAAAATGGAATATCTAAATAAAACATGTACTCACGCTTCGTGGAGGGAAATCGTAGGAGGTTCATATGTCCTTAGAATCGTAAATAAGACGAGATTGACATAGATATTCAGACTGACATGAACATCTGTCTTTACACAGATGTCATCGAGCTTGGTGTCGATTTTATCAAATCATAGTTATCTTTATCAGCCGGGATATGCATACCGATCGATGCGGCAACAGATGGCTCTCTAAAGCTTTGTTAATATATGCCACCTAACTTGGACTCAGTAAAATCCAACGTCAATCTTGTTTCTCTTCACAAGGTGCTGAATGGTGTTTTACGCCATACCTTTAAGAAGCAGGGCAATCTACAGGTTCGGTGTACCATGGCTAGTGGTCAGCCATGTCACATATTGTAGTCATCTAATCCACTCTTTGTATCGGTTCCTCGGAACCTTGAACACCCACGCGATACGATTACATGATACGTTGGATATTGTCGCAAATGATAGACTCTGTATACTAAATCAATACATGTTGAACTTAATTTATCAAGTTCAACGCTTAATGTTACAGATCGCTTGTTGATTAGCTGGCTGTTCTACCAGCAAGTGTCCACCCCCCCCCCCGTTTTAATAGCCAAAAGTGACAACAAAATAATGATCATGTGTTAAACGACTTATTTTATTCGGGTGTCCAAATCATGAGACAAATAACCAGAGTTGGTCTGTCGATTTGCAGTTATTAGATATTGTGTTAGTATGCAATTCATCGATTTCAAATGAAATCAAACATACTGTAGAACCAGAATGCTGACACCATTTATGTGACGTCACCAATAATAGAGTGTGACATTGCATTTGAGCTTTCTCGTATATCGTGGACCGACGCTCAAACATGACGCATATGATCTTGTGTGTGTTTAGTAAGGTCGTTTTATAGCGCTAGTCTACAGGATGTACGCATCAACCCAGAGGTCCCACCCAGACAAAATACCCTGAATCCGTGCCCTCAATGACATGCCTTGATCTTTTAACGTCTAGTAGCCTAGTGGTTAAAGCCCTTTATAGTCACGCCGAGGACCCGGATTCGATTCCCTAAATAAGTAAAATGTGTAAAGCTCACTTCTGGTGTCCCCCGTCTGAACGTTGAGTACATCTATCCACACTCACTCACTCACTCACTCTCTGACGTTATATCCAGTGGCCCATGGTGGCGGTTGAAGCTGCTTCATTAAAATGAGGGGCGGTGGGGTAGCCCAGAGTTTAAAGAGTTCGCTCGTCACTCCGAAGACCCGTTTTCGATTTCCCCATGGGCACAGTGTGTGAAGCCCACTTTTGGTGTCCCCCGCCGTGGTATTGCTGGAATATTGCTAAAAGCGGCATAAAACTAAACTCACTCACTCACACCGTTAATTGTTTAAAGAAGAAGAATATGTACTCGTAGGATTTTCTACGCCCACGTGTACAAGAGAAATGACGTCCACCTTTGGTTTTTGTCCATTAACAAAGCACACCTCTTCTGTATTGTCATTCATGGTATGCGTCGCAGCTCGCACTTTGGCAATATAATCTCCAACGAGACAATATGGCGTTGGTAGTAGAGTGTTATGTACTCACACACGCAACTTATCAGCTACTGACCTATTTTCTGTTAAGATGTATCAAAATCCTATAGCTAACAAGGCAGACATGGCGGACATGTTACACAAGGAAAGATAACTCTTGATTTATAATCCGACCAATCATTACATTCGCAAAACTGAATGTTAAAAACCAAATTTCTTCTCCCATCTCCTACACTAAACAAATATTGATCGTGCACACAACGATCGATCACAAAGCATGTTTGAATTTACTTGCTGGTTGGGAAAATATTTTGAGTAACTTTAAAAAGACCAGTGCAATTGATCTCCTCTGATACGTTAGTGTCTGATATAAGAAGATACCGATGGTTAATAAGTTCGCGTCTCTGCTTGCAAGCAGACTTCCAGGCAACTATCTCCGGCTGGTAGAGTCGTAATTCATAAAAGCTGAGGCTAACCAACAAAGTATTGTCAGTGACGTGGTGAAATACTGAACATTTCCAAAACGCTATAATTCAAATTGCGTTTTTCCCGATAGTGATTCAGTATTCAGTGTGAACAGATGCAGAAGCATTTCAAGGTATATATCGTTTTAAAAACTGGATTAGAATTTAAAGTTAAAATTTATTCTGTATGTTGTATGTTCGTAAGCTAATGCTCTATGCGACTTAAACCAAGTGACATATTTTAATGAAGATAGTTTGTTGACTAAGAAAACCAATACATTTTCCATGACATAAATCCCCTCTCTCCCCCCACACACACACACAAACACACACATACACAACCCAATACTCTATTGGCCCAACAGACCTTAAACATGGCACATGGATCATGCAGTTCCTCTGAGCACGATGGTATGGGTCGTTATTTTAATTCATTATATATAGTCAAAAGTATTGTTTATTGCATTGCCCACAGTAACACATAAACTATAGGGGCGGTGTGGTAGCCTAGTGGTTAAGGCGTTCGCTCGTCATGCCGAAGTCCCGGGTTCAATTCCCCATATGGGTACAATGTGTGAAGCCCATTCCTGCTGTCCTCCGCCGTGATATTGCTGGAATGTTGCTGTAAAAAGTGGCGTAAAACTAAACCCACTCACACACACACTATGGACTCTTGCTCAGGACATTGTATTTGGGTTTAAGTTGGAAAATGCAACATCTACAACGTGCGGAACGATTTATGGGTATTGACTGTTTGAATTCAGCGAGATGTAGCCAATACGTTCAAAGTGGCGCAGTCTGTGATTTGCAGGCTTTAGAGCCGGTTTCTGCAGACCTACAATGTTAATGATTTTTTCCTGGACTGGGCGCCGAAGACCAGCAAAACAAGTTCAGGTTCGATCAATCAAAAAACAGAGCTTAAAAATTGATACCAAACAGCCAAATTTTGGCCAGACACCAGTCGTGTTTGGCGTGCAAAATGTAAACAAGAGGAATCGCTGGTAGTCTCGTGTAATGTTTTCAGATGAGTCCAGAAATTTGAGATGTAACTTTCGTAAGTACGTACGTACTTACATGTACCTGCGTGGTATGTATGCATGCATTCATGCATGAATTCATGCATGTACCAAGAATACGTAGTTGGCATATTCACACTCGAGCATATGCATGTGGGTACATGTTTCACATTACTGTTTGAAAGAAACTATTTCTTGAAAGTCTATAAATACGCTTTTTGGAAATATTACTTGTAGAAATAATACATTTTTTAATTTGTGTGATTTTTGTTAATGACTGTTTGGATTAACGAGGTTTCGGACTATAGGGTTGTCGTGATGTTAATTCGCAACTCCACCTAGAAGGCTCCGATCCCAGTATTTAGCTGAAGGAGAAATAAAATGGATTAGTCAGCGAAGTTAGACATAAATAGGCCATCAATCTGTAAGTTGCTGGTTAAGCATCTGACCTCGTTAGCACTGCAGGGCACGGAAATTAGGGAGAACTAATGCCTATTTACAGGGTCTCTATTTAGAGTGATACAGCAGACTCTTTCGCTGATGGAATAACCGACACTGTGCCCCATCTCTTTGATGAATGGAAACAGAACAGTTGTATATGCTTCTTTTGCAGGTTGTTTTTAATGATTTCGTTTATTAATGGAAACATTATCTATAACAAATTGGTAGTACAACTAATAGGGGAGGTAATAAGTTACGCACGTATTGTACTTTTACTTTTACTTTCAGAAGTGCTGTACTTGAGGTTGATGATATATTTTCTTTAGAAACAGTTTTGGGCCCCAATATCATGTATGGATCCGTGCAACGGGCAGTTTTAGATATTGTCTCGTCACCTTGTAAAATATGATGTAATCTAGACAGGCTCGCAAATGACTTAGACAGATTTAGTTCTTGATTTTAAATCATTTTAACGCTCTGTCATATTAACCTACTGCTTTTTTAATGAATGAGTATTTCATGTTTCAGAAATGGAAGTGATTACTTAAGGCTTTTAGAGGTTATTCGTCTATCCAAACGAATATTACTACTGCTGTCGTTTCTTTCTGTGAATTTTATGTCAATTGTAATATGTCTCATTCTATGAGAAAGCACTAGCTTTGTTTAGAGGAGGGGTAGCGCCGCATAGAGTCGAAACTGGTCGTTACGTTGGTTGAAAGAATTTGTTTTTACTGTAAAGATTTTATTGAAAATGAAAGTCATGTTTTATTGCACTGCCCTTTGTATGCTGATGATCAATTGCAACTTTTATCTAAATATACAAATCTTTAAGGTGTTTTTTTAATCTGGAGGATGTTGAAAAAAATGGTTTTATTCTAGCTTGTCCAGATTTATCGCTTGAATCTGTCAAAACGTATCATAATATTCTTAAAAAGCGTACTGCAAATTTGTATGTTTCGTCTTAATGTAAATTTTACTCTTTTTTATTGTATTTGTAATATTCATATATCACTTGAATAAAATATCTCTGTTTGTTTGGGAGCACCTTTAGAATACAGCACCACAACTTCTCGTGAGGACGATCCCTGCCGTAGGTCACGTGTTATTAAGACAAGCAACCAGTTTGTGAGAACCCGTCAGACGCGAACCCGCGATCTTCGGATTGTTAGCCCGACAGCTAACCGACTGAGCTACGTCCACACTGTTGCACAATGTGCAAATTTATCGAGTCATTCCTGTGACGTCACGGAAATGAACGTAAAGAGTCGAATAGGTCACGGACAATTACGAAGGTTACGGGTAGACTTGATGTCTCGTGATTTTAATCTACGGACAATTGCCGAATGGACCCGATGCCATTTGGCACACTCGTCCCATTCCGTAATCTACAAGATAACGTTGGCGTGGAATGAGCCGATATGCCTCAAACAGAAAAGGGTTTTTGACGTCAGGCGTCAGACGTAGATTTCACGGTGCATGCATGAATTACGCGCTTTTATATAAATCGGTGATTTTGTGACAGAAAAGTGATGTAGGGAACACTGTAAGGATAATGTGGATCGCACTAAGGATCGAGGGAGACATGAGCATGTGTAGTGACGGCACGAGGGTGAGTTAGCATTCGAATCATTACTGAACAAATGTTGCGTGTGAAAGAGGCTTGAGTGCAAATTCCAGGCCAATTTCCATTAGCCCAAAATTTGTACATTAAACCATTTCATAGTGTACT